ATATTGAAGGGGAGCAGAGTTTGGCACCCCAAAATATGCCTCTTTGAGATAATGATTATTTTTAATTTTATGTTTAATTTTAAGAAACAGCAGGCATGGGAGGAGCTCTGAAAACAAAGTAGAATTTACCCTTTGCAAAAGGACATTTATATTTGTAAGGACCATCTCCATTTATAAGGGTGTTTTCCTCACTGTGCCTGGAAGACGAGGATGTCTAAATTTCTAGAAACTGTTAATTAAGATAATCTCATGAAAGTATTCTATGGAATGTATAAATCTGGGCCTACATCATTCATAAAGAAACAGCTTGTTATTTTTAAGGAAGGAAAAGAGTTGTAATTTTTTCTAAACACAGTTTCAAGAGAAAGAAGTGATGAATGATGAATGGAAAGTTCCCATTTGTTTTCCAGAACTTAAAAAAAAATTCTTATTTGTTTCTGATTGCAAAAGTGCTCATTGCTTTAAAAAAGTATGTATGTATGCGTGTAACACACGGAGACATGTACAACCCAGAAATGAGATGCTCTGAATTCCATCTTCTGGAGCTGTTGGTAACAATTTGTTGTGTAGTCTTCAGGTTTTCCCCCCACGCATATCCCAACACCTCAGGGCATATTTACTGTAATGAATAGTTAAGTATGGTTTTCTATGTATATTAACAACTCTTTTATTTCTATATAATTACATTCTTATTTTTTCCCTAAGGAATTATTTTAAAAGTGATTCTCTACCTGTTTGTAAGTTATGTGGCAACCAAAAATAAAGACATATAATATAGATTCTTCCTAATGTCCTGGCCATTTAAAGTTGTAAGAAACATCTCTTTTGTTTAAAATAATCTGTAAGTACTAATTTTTACACATGATTTGATATGCATGGAGTTCTGTTTCAATTTTACTTTGTGATCTGTAATGATTATTATATATACAATGCATTCTATATCTTTAACTCAAGTAGGCAAAGTAATTGGAAGCTGACTTTTTTATTTTTAAATGAGGTTTTGTATTTTAAGTATAAGAATAGATTCAGATTTTGGCATAAAAGTTCAGTTTCCTCTGAATTCATTGGATATTCCCTCTGGTTTCTGAGAGGCATATAAAAAGAAACTTCTAGATGTGCCGGTGCACATAATTATAAATATTTGTTGGATAATTCAATAATTTCTGCATTTTGGGATTCCAGTACCTAGGACAACAAACCTTAGCATGCAGTTGGTACTCAATTCTGGTGAAGTATAGGTCATCACTATTATCTCAAGAAATATTTATTGAACACAGTGCCAGAAATGAGAGGCAGATTAGATCCAAAGAGGCATAAGATACCCGGCCTCAAGATACTTATGGCCTATTTAGAGGAGATAGAACATAAAAATAAATAACTATATGTGGTAGCATGTGACCAAGACTGGATGACAAGTACATGTTGCTGGAATTCAGAGTAAAGCATGTGCGAAAGAGTTGGTGTGGTTGTTGAAGATTTTGTTTTGGGACCGGGTAATAACTGAGTTAACCAGAGGCAGTGTATGAGGGTTCTAATTCTAATTTTTCTGCATCCTTGCCACCACTTCTCTGATGACTAATGATGTTGAGCACCTTATTATGTGTCATTTGTATATCTTCTTTGGAGAAATGTCCATTTAGTTCCTTTGCCTGTTTTTAAGTTGATTTCTTTATTATTGAGTTGGAAGAGTTCTGTTAAAAAAACAAAATTCAGCTCAGTAAATTTGAAGATCTGATAGGCTTTATTAGGCATTCCATGAATTGGGTAGCATTCCATCTAGCAACTAGAATGGTGTTCTGAGGAGTTGTACAAAATGGAAGTTTTTGTTGGCAGAAAGAGGGTGGGACTAAGAAATTAAGTGGATTATTTCAGACAAGGACACCTTCCCTTGAAGGAAGGCTGGGATCTTATCAGGCAGAGTATCTCACTATTGATGAGGAAATTGCAGACAGATTGACTTACCTTAAAATTCTCCTTGGAGAACCTGAAACTGCAATTAGGTTAATTATTAAGTCTTGGTTTGGTGATGTGGCTTAGCAAAAGTGACTCCATTTTGGCTGTTTCTTTTTTAAACAGTTCTTTTTTCATTTTGGATATAAGCCCCTTATAATTTATTTGGAAATATTTTCTCTCATTCTGTGGAGTTGTCTTTTCACTTTCTTCATGGTTACATTTTTAACACAAAATTTAAAATTTTTTTTATAAAGTTCAGTTTATCTATCTGTCTATATATTTGTCACTTGTACTTTTTGTGTCATGTCTTAAGAAGGCTTTGCCTAACCTAAGATCATGAAGACTGTCGGCTGCACAATAACACTAACTAGGTAGTTCATTACTAAAAGGATTTATTTGGGAAAAGGAAAAAGTACTGCAGCAGCATGAGAATGTGCAGACCCGGCAAGCCACGTGTATATTCTGACCATATGCCTAGATGGAGGATATATGTATATAGTACAGGAAGACAGAAAGTTAAAACCATACAGTTTTATAAAAAGAAATTTAGGACTATAGAGCTCAAAGAGCCCAGCTCCACCCACAGACCTCCCAGTTTCCTTAACATCGAGTTCATCTTTATCAAGACTTACTCCTGTAAGAGTTTTAACATTTTATCTATTACATTAGGTGTATGATCTTTTTTGAGTTAATTTGTGTATATGATATTAAGTAGAAGTTCAGTTTTATTTTTTGGATATCCAGTTGTTCAGCACCATTTTTAAAAAACTGTTCTTTCTCTCTTTGAAGTATCTTGGCACTCTTGTTAAAAATCAGTTACCTTAAAAAGAAGGGTTTATTTCTGGATCCTCAAATCTGTTCCATTGATCTATTTGTCTATTCATATACTAGAACCACACTGTCTTCATTAGTGTACTATTGTAGTAGGTTTTGAAATTGAATTTGAAACTGAGTTCTCCACCTTGTTCTTTTTCAAGATTATTTTGTCTATTCTGGGTCTCTTGTGTTTTTGTTATCAACTTGCCAATTCCTGCAAAAAAGTCAGCTAGGATTTTGATAAGGATTGTGTTGAATTTGTAGATCAATTTGAGGAGTATTGCCATCTTAACAATATTGTGATCTGATCCATGAACATGGTATGTCCTTCCATTTATAAGTTTTAATTTCTTTTAGTAATTTTTTATAATTTTCAGAGTACAAGTTTTACACTTCTTTTGTTAAATTTATCCCTAAGTATTTTTCTTTTTGTGCTATTGTAAATGGAATTGTTTTCTTAATTTCATTTTCTTATTTTTCAACTCACTAAAATTTGGCCTCAGCCCTGACCAGTATACCAGCATTTCTTTCACTGTGGTAACCATTGGCCTTTCATAATTTTCTCTTTCTGACCTTCCAATCTGAGAAACCTATTTATTATAGCAAGTGTTGTGCTAAACATCATTATAGTGTAATTGGACCCACTTTTTCATTTTCTTATAAACATATAATGTTTTCCTGTTATTCATGATTTTAGGCAGTTTGAGAAACTGCTTTGTATGACTCGTGTGGTTAATTTCTGAATCTGACATTCACAGGTCACAGTGTGGATTAAAGTAATTTTGGAGGGGCACATTGCCTCTTGAATCACTACCCCTTGCAAATGTTTGGTAACCATGTTCATTACCAACAAGCTGACCACAGAGTCCATTTCAGAAACATTAATCTTTTCTTCCAAATATTAGGTACATATAAATGCCCTACATTTTTGGCTATTTGTCAACTTTTTTTTTCTTTTCTGAATGTTAGCAGGCAGCATAATCCAAAATCACTAATAACGTGTAACTGTTACGTTTGCTTTCCTTAAAATTTCATAGTGAAAAAAAAAGGAAGTATTTGAGTGATTTCAGCCATTTTCTTAGTTTTTTTTAATGTAACAATTTATGTAAGTAATTTTTCTGTAATTTTTTCCTATGTATCTAGTTTGTGTTAATGCCCGATATATATGGTATTTTTAAACCATTATTTTATTTTATTAATAGTTAACTTTTTTTGTCTGGTTTTTTGGACATAATTTTGGACTCCTTAGCCTTTTTTTTCATGACCACAACATTTAAGTTATTTTGTAGACTGTCTCTTAATTTGGGCTTTTTCCTGGTGTTTTCTCATTAGATTGAGGTTATACATTATTGCAAAGAATACCAAAGAGGTAATAGGCCTTCCCAGAATGTCATATGGGGATGTATTACTGGTGATAGTAACCTTGGTTGCTTGGCTAAGGTATTGTGTGCCAGGATTCCCCCTGAAACTTACCCCTTGTAATTATTGAATATTTAGAAGATATTTAGAGATATTTACAATAGAAGATACTAAGACAAATATTTAGAATATTTAGAGACTATGCAAATATCCTGTTTTTGCTTAAGCTTATAGTCACTCTCTTGAGCATCGATCTTGCATCTAGCAGCTATTACTATGGTGTTCTAGTGATTTTTCTATTTTCCTTATTCTGTCTACATTTATTAATTGGAATTCCTCTGTAAGGAAGAGTTTCCATTCTAGCCCATTTTAAGTTCATTTACTTATTAATTTGTTGATTTAGCTATTTGTGTCAGTATGGAGTTGTGGGTATTTTATGCTGTGGGTTATAATGCGTTACTATAGTTATTTATTTTATTGCTCAAGTTGTTCTTTTTCTGCCTAAGTTTTGAGTGAATTTGTTTGTCAAGATGAAGCCAAACCTATTGAAGCCTAAGATACTTGGAGACTTCTTTTTCACTTAACTTCTAGCGGAATGGAGAATGACCTAATTAAGACTTCTCTTTTCCATTCTTGAATCATAATTTGCTGCTTATTAGGATGTCTTTCTCTGTTGGGATTAGACTAGTGAATCTCCAAATTCAACATTCTTAAAATTCAATACTATGAAATATGAGACATTATTTATGAAGTGAATATAGATTCCCTTTGTTAGATGAGAAAATTTAGATTTTATATACAATTTTAAAACTTCTCATTGAAAGCATTGGTTATTGTTGTCAGTTATTTCACAGTATAAATCTTGTTTTTAGGAAAAGAAGAAATATGAAAATCTTCAGAGGGAAGAGTCTGATGAAATCTCCCTTCCAGAAACCTCCAGAGAGCTGGAAATCCCTACTCCAGCTTGTGAATTCAGAGGAGACCATCTGCAGGTGTTAACTGATTCCCAGCTCCAGAATGATGCCCATGGACAAAACGAGAGTGAAATGTTTGATGTATCACTCACCTCCTTAACTATAAATAATGAAGGGTCCCTGACATGTGACACAGAGGCCCTAAAGGAAGGGGAGGAGGTCAGAGCTTGTGTTGGGGGCAATGCGGTCAAGCTGAAGTTTGACCTTGGAGACAATGTTGGAACCAAAGTAGAAACCCCCAAGAACTTTACAGAAGTAGAGGAAAGTAAATTGGTACAACGCGGACCTTTTGAAAGCACACTGCAATCCAGTTTTTCTTATACTCAGCAGGAAATGGAAAATGTACAGGTCAGAGGAACCCAGCATAGCAAAGAAGACAAACAAGCCTTGGGTCTGTCTTCAGAGGTGCTACAAAATGTTGGCTTGCGGAGTTCCTGTGAGGTCACGGACATTTTTCAGCCACCTAAAGTGAAAAAACTGTATCCCCAGTTGCCAGCGGAAATCGCTGGAGAAGTGCCAGCTTTGGTGGCAGTGAAACCCTTGTTGCGGAATGAGCGACTCTACCCAGAGCTCCCATCTCAACCGGAGCTGGTACCATTTACTAAAGAACAATTAAAAATCTTTGAGCCTGGCTCATGGCTGGAAAATGTTGAGTCCTATTTAGAGGAATTTGACAGCATGGCTCATCAGGACAGGCATGAATTTTATGAGTTGCTTTTGAACTACTCACGATGTAGGAAGCAGCTTCTTCTGGCTGAAGCTGAGCTATTGGCTCTGACATCTGATTGTCAAAATGCTAAAAGTCGACTCTGGCACTTTAAGGAGGAACAGTTGTCTGTCCAGGTATTTTGACTAGTGTTCTATAAAGCTTTCAGGAGCCTGGGGAGCCGCTGTTCCTGTGATGCCATCCAGGTCTGGAGTCTGCTCCTTATACCCACACTGACCCTGCCTTAGCTCAGAGTATTGCAGTGTAGGAATCAAAGCCCGGTGCCTGCAGGGGCCATGCAGGTAACTGGAGAAGTGAAGCAGGGTGAGTGGGACGGTGGTCCCTGGGGAAGCTCCTGCCTGGTCCAATGGGGGCAGCTGCGCTTGAGTCCTAGCTGATGATTGTTGTGAGGTTGTGTTGGTCCAGCATTGCCACATCTTATAATTTTCCAAGAGAAGCTAGAAATCTGGATTTTAATGTGAGGGATCTTGAGCTATAAATGTTGGCAACTCATTCCACAAATACACACAGTAGAAGCCAAGCAAGTCATATCTTTGGGTCAGATTCAGCCCATGGATCTTTTAGTTTGTGACCTTGGGCATGATGACAGGAACATCCAGTAGAGAGTGTCACGGAGAGGATTCATCCATGGACTAACGTCAAGGGGAGACGAGGAAACAGGGAAGGCAATTAGATGTGACCCTGTGGAGAACAAGGTGGCCATCAGGAAAGCCATTTCACAGTGGCGTGGGAGGGATGGCAGGGAAGAGAAGGCCACTCTTGACAACCTTGGCATTGGAGGGAGGCTGGAAGAGGTAGCAGGAAGAAACACATGGTTTTCCGCATCCCTAATCCTCTCATTGGGAGACGTGTGTATTTCTCTTGTAGATAGAAAGAAGTCTGGAGAGGGAAACATTTGGAGATACTGAAAAAGAGAGGCTAGAATCGAGAACACAGCTGGCAGTGTTAGTATTGGAAAGGAGAGGGATTTCTTTCTTTTGAGAAGAATCACAGAGAATGATGAGGGTAGGTACAGAGATATTTTGAGGTCCCTTGAAGTTGAGGGCAAATCACGTTGATGTTTGTAAAGTAGACGGTAAGATCATCAATCACGAGTCTTAGGGTCAAGCTCTATTATTTTCTTGTACCTTTCCCCACCTACTTCTTAGGGTTTTTCTCCTCTGAACTTGTGATGT